CTTGTCCTTGAAGACGACCAGATTACAAATATCAACTGAGAGTTTTGCAAAAGTCCAACGTCACTCCACTGTCAGATGGTGGTCCGGCGGCACTCTAGTGTCAGGCGGTACTTCAGCTTCGGATGGCACTTCGACGTCCCTTGGTGGTCCGTCGGTGGTGCGGCAGCACTCCGGCGTCCCTTGGTGGTCCGGCGGGGGTGCGATAGCACTCCGACAATGGTGCGGCAGCACTCCGGCATCCCTTGGTGGTCCGGCGGTGGTGCGGCTGCACTCCGGCGATGGTGCGACAGCACTTCGGCGGTGGTCGAGGAGGAGCTAGGCGGCTGGAGCTTTATTCCTTCTCTTCCTTCTTCTCTCTTGGCCTTCTTCCCCCCTTTTCAAGATGAAGTGGGGCTCTATCTATAGAATTCTTGAGTGGCATGGCTTGTAAATAAGTGGAAGCTCAAGGGTAAATTAGGAGTGGTTCGAATGGACGACCGATCTTGATTTCTACAATCATGCATCGTTCAATAGACCTTTGACTGTCTTAATGATATCAGAATTTGACGATCTTGGGCTCGTTGAATTCGTCTCGTCGAGCCGCTTGATTCGATTATAAGCATGTCACGATTGGAGACCGTTTGGCATCTCAAATTGTGGTTGAACTTTCCAACAATGCTTCGGGTCCTTGATTTGGACTCATTTGGGCTCGGTTTGAGTCAAATTTGGTGTCGTTGGGTTCGTATTTCCGAGATTCTCAGTTCGACTACAAGTTTGTTGAAATCAGAGTTCTGATGGTCTCCAATTTAGTTTTGAAAGTTTCCAACTTGATTTTTTCTTGAGATTCGTGCTGGATCAAGCCTATTTTTTGGTAACGTATTAAGCATAAAGATCTGAAATTGTTAATCTAAACGATCACTCAGCTGCTTGTTTTCTTCTAGAAGATGTCTTTACTTGTTTATCAGTTTGTTGATAAACTCAGCTAAGAGTTTATTTGATTTGAATATTTTAGGAATAGAATAAAAGGACTGCACGAATTTTCAAAATTTAAGTATTTTGTTTGTTCTAAAAATAAATCATAAATAATTTATCAGTAGATTTAGATTTTATCCTTTGGTTTTTCTTCTCTGTATTTTAAATCATTAAGTTTGGGCAGTTTTAAAATACACTAAATCACTTTCTCCACATGTGCTGGCACCCACATAGCTCAGCGTCATTGTAAAAAATTATTATGTGTTGACACCTGACAGTCCAGAGGTCAATCAGAACACGCCACGTCACCCAGTATACAACACTAGTACAAAGCAAAAAGGTGATGTGGCGCATTATGATTGCCCCCATATATATATATATATATATTGCTTCAAGCTAACTAAGGCTTCATTTGAGATAGCTTTTTTATTACTTTTTAAAACACTTTTTTAGTGCAAAAATTCGTTTTAATAAAAAAAATGTGTACTAGAAAGCTGCTATATAAATCAATAAAAAAGCTGCCCCAAATAGATTTGCATTGCTTCTCTTGCCTAGAGACGCGTCGGCTAGTGCTCCGCTAGGTTCACTCCCGACAACTCGTTGGCACATGCTCCAGCATGCTAGGGCTGCTTTGATTCTCTCTCGACGGCTTTGGGCCATCTGTTGGGTTTTAGGGAAGCTCCTTCACCTTTCTCATTTCTATTGTTGCTTTTTCATTGATTTTGTTTGTCTTCTTGATTCATCCACCTCCGGTCCTTTATGGCTGGAATGGAGGTGAATAGAGTTTGTGATCTTAGATTTTTGGTTGGAGTTGTGAAATCGATATCTTTTGTAGATGCCCTAGCTGGATCTTTCTATAATGGTGGCTTTCCTGAGTTAAAACCATCTTTATTTCGTGGTATTCCTTCTTTGTGGATTTTAGAAGATGAGATTCGTGGGCTTGCGGCTCCTTTCCAATTTGCGTTAGTGGGTTTTCCATCACGTGCATCATAATTTGGATTTTATTCGCAAGTTCTTCTTTAACCTTACGCTAAATATTGAGTTTTCTGTGACTTTGCTTAATGTGTTGCATGTTCTGATTAAGTTGTCGAATGATCTAGATTATAGAAAAGTATTTTGTCATTGATCTTACTTTGTAAATAACTATTTCATAAAATTAACTAAATGGTCCCCTGCTCTTGATATCGATGTTGAGTCCCGTGTGATTCTCATTTGGATTTTCTTTCCAAAACTAAGGCCTCGTCTTTTTCCTCCATGAATCCTTCATGCTTTAGGAACTATATTTGGTCGGCCCTTAAAAGTCGACAATGATACCTATGTGGGCTCTCAGCCCTATGTTGCACATGTTTTAGTTGAGCTTGACATCACCAAAAAATATTCAGACAAAGTCTGGCTTGGTCCTGAAAACTTCGGCTATATTCAGATGGTTGAAATAGAGGAGTTTCCATCACGTTGTGATTCCTGTAAATGCATTGGGAATGTTAGGGGTAATGTTCCTCCCATTCCTCTATTCTGAAGACTTCTAATACCACTCCGTATGATGGCAATGCTATTGGGAATGCATTTACCTATAGTTTTATTAGATGGAAATGTTAATGATGACA